CCCCCCCCCCCCCCCCCACCAACCAAAATAAAAAAAAAAATCTTTTTTTTGAGCTTCATCCATTCTTCTAACCTTAATGTGATATATATTGAGAAGTATGTACACATAGAAGTATGTCATCTATATACTAAGATGCAATTAGATCACTTTTGCAAAATAATAACTCAATATTATTTTATTTTTCCTATGGATTTTTTTTTATGTTTAAAAATAATTAGTGTAAAAACGTGTTACCAAAAAGCTACATTAGTTTTTTTTTTCCACGAGGTTTGGGTTTAATTGGGAGATGTTGCTAAAGCATAAGCACTGATCCAAAATCAAGGTTGCTTCATTGGGAAAGGGGAGACTTAAACCTACGAGATGCCCATTAGTCTTACAGAACTTTGAGAAAGTGCCAAGAGGAAAAAAGAACATAATCAGTAAATACACTCACATTACCTCGATAGCATAACAGAATGAGATGAACTTTATGTTGTAAATAATCCAATTGTATTGAAAATAATAATCTTACTAGGTCTGATTATGTGTAATAAAAACTTCTGAGCTCTTCAACCTTGTTTAGAAAGACCAAAAGAAAAATACCTACTTTAGAAAAACTTCTAAACAAAGTTTTTATTTTTTTCGCCTTTTTTTGACATGTAGCTACAATGCAGTGCACATTCACCCTTATAATACACACATCAAGACATCAAGAATTTGAATATATAGCATTCTAAGAAGATATTTTTTTTATCGGGATAGTATAAGGTTTTTTTTTTGGCTAGAGAGACAGTAAAAGATTTGAAAACTCAAATTGTCTCCCAATTATTTAATTGTATTCATCTAACAAATGGTAACTAAATTCTCATGATCAATTGAATTGGAAGGTTATATACATTCAAAAAATGTATTTTATGTGGACCTAAATCATACCCCATAGTTAAAAACAATTCTTTCGTTGTTCGAAACAAAAGGAAAAATGGCTAGAAATAGAAAATAAAAATGAAATGGACATGATCATTCATTTGCTTTCTCCACATTGTAGGAAAATCATTTTGTCTACTTGAGATGGGAATCGAAAAGGATTGTAGACCAAGGAAATCATTTTGTCCACCAGAAATGGGTATTGAGAAGGAATAAAGAATTAAGAAATTTCTGCATCAGGATTCAGGGAGAGGAAATGATCGAATCGAAGTTACCACTAACTCAATTGTAAATCTTATCGATTTCAATAATATTCATTCATCCATCATTTAATTCATTAGGGCCGACCAGTGGATTCTTGAATTTCATGACAGAAGATATTTTTTTCAACTTTTATTTTATCAGCATTTTTTTAAACTTAAGGATGGTATTATTTTGAAAAAAAGAAAAATATTGGGTGTAATGATGATATTATGTCATCATTGTCATGTAACGTTACTATCTAATAAAAGCATAACAAAAAAAATAGGTGCATCCCACATATTCTGGTAATTATCCTATTCTGTCATTTAATAACCACCTAAGTGAGTTTTACCTTCCCCATTTGTAAGTTTCTTATTGAATGAACACACCACCTATAAATGATGATATAGTATCACCGTGACACCCAATATTTACTCCATTTTTTGGGGTAAAACGCCCATATCGTCACCCTTCTTTTATGCAAAATTAAATGAACATTGTTATTAGCACTTAATTTGCTGATCTAATTCACTATGACATTTAGATTGACTGTGGACTTCATCAAATACTAAAATTTAGTGTTGATCCAATAGTTTTATTGAAACCACATCATTATGTCAACAAAAATTATATTAAATGTTTAGGTCCAAATAAGATTACTCAAAATAAATAGTCGATGCACTAAACTGAATCAATGAAAATAATAAAATCACACGACAAACAAGAAATTAAATTTGCATGGCTTCCGCAAACTCGTGGTATGTCCACGAAGTCCAATCTACATTTAACTATATCATAATAATGGGCGTATAACAATCCTTCTCCGAGCAATTCCCAAAATGCAATTAAAATATTAATTATTCATCATCCGAAAGTGGATATGATCAACAGAAGCATAGAGTATAGATCTCACCGAATGCATCTTGCAAAATATCAATTCAAAAAGACTTTCGACAAAATACAATGATCAATACGAATTCCTCATCTCTGTGAACAACACACTAAAATTTCATCAAAATTAGGTGTTGAATATCTGCCCAATTTTTGGTTCGAAGATATCTACCTACGTGAGCAATCTGTCTTTTTCACTTCTTAGTTTTAGGGCTCTTCATTAGTGTTCAATGTAAATATGTCTCATTTATTAGCACTAACAATAATTGAATCTCGTAAGACATTTTGTAATACCAAAAATATAGTATTCATCGTGCAACATTTGTATTTTAAATAATAATCTATTTTCTTTTTCTTATCTTTAAAATATTCAATTTAAAATTAAAGTGAACAGAGAAAAAATATGAAAGATAAGAGTGAGACAAGAGAGAGATAGATGTGGAGTAGTAGTGTTGATTGACATTGGGAAGTATGTTGATTGAATTGATATTTTTGAGTGAAAAAAAAAATGTTGGGATAAATTTTATACCATTGAATCAAAATAAATGAAAATTATATCAATCTTACCTGTAGTTGGGCTTTTATAAGTCAACGATTCAACTTCGTATTATATAGATCGTACCGGAAGGCTTCAGGCCTCTCAAAGTCGGTTCGCCATGCACCCAACAAACCTAATTGAAGACAAAGTCTTCAATACTCCAAGGCTTCATTTAGTCCCCAGTGGGCCACGTTGCATTAGCCCCCAATTATTTTTCACTTAGAAAATGGTTTTGGACCCGTGAACTATAGGTTGCGCTACAAGCATGTAGGTGGAGCCAACCCAACAATCTCCCCCTCCAGCTCTTGTGGGGAGCACAACAAAGCTCACTTTCAGTCTACAAACTTCAAGTTGCTCCTTGGGTAATGGTTTAATCACCATATCTGAATCATTCTTGAAGGGGGTGGCTCCATCTATGACACATGCAATTACATTGAATGAACCCATGTGAATGTGACAAGAACAATCACGTGACAAAGACGTCATTATTAGATCAAAGCCGAGTTGTTCAAAGAGCTTAGGAATAAAGGGAAGAGGTCGGTCCTTACTATGACGGAGCTGCTTTGAAAAGTAAACGAAGAGCTAAAGAGATGCCTATAACTTAGGAATTCTGGTTAAACAAATGTGCAAAATCATAGGCTTGGCAGGAAGAATTGCTAGAGAGATCTTAGCAACTTCCCAAGCAGAGTCGCCTAATTAGAGGAAGGTGTACCACCTTAAGTCAAGAATCATGGAAACCCTAACTGAACAGGGATCTATAAAAAGTACAAGAAA